TTGATGAGACTAGAAAAGCGTCCATTTACCATTTACAACTGTGCTGTATAGGGGCCAGATTCAGGCCATGGAACTGTACGTATAGAAACAAGCATATGGGCTTATGGGACTTATTTTGTTATTTGGAAGCCCTAAGTTACAGCTTCCAGTCTTCTTGGCAAAATCTCTACAGGCTTTACACACCTGGATTTGGGCACTTCATCCCGTTCCTACTGGAAGATCCTCTTAAACTCCGTCAGATGACTGATGTGTTCTAGGCAAAAACAGAATTACTAAAATTCTGCTTTGGCTTTGACAACACAACAACAGAGATTGTGTCCCTGTATTAAAAGATGTATGAGATATATTGTATTTTATAAACAAGTGGCAGTCAGTTTGTACATTATGTTACTACAAAGCTGTTGATGTAACAGCAGGTAATCACAAGGCAAGGACTCAAATGTAGAGACAAAAACAGGGCTCTAAGAAATTCAAGGTCTTTACTGGGAACAATAGTTCAGTACACATTCAGTCAGGAGCAGACTATAAGTGAGGTGAAAGAGAAGCAGTCACACAGGAAAACTAACAGTAGGAAAGGCAGGAATGCTCGTCAGAGACAACAAAAACGATCTTGCACAGAGACGGAAAAGAGCACAGAGACTAAATACACCAGGAGACACAGATGCACACAGAGGTGGGAAACACAAGGGCAGGAAGTGAGGATCCGAAATGACATTTGTGGTGGTGTTCATTTCATTAAAGAAAACTATATGACGAAATATGATCATCAATAAACTTTCCTTTCCATGACTAAGACAAGACGATGACGAGACAATGGTGATGACACGATGATGACGAGACGATGACGAGACAAAGATAAAAATAAAATGTAGTTTAAAAAATAAAAGCTGATATTTGGGCCCCACATTGACTGCAGATGGGATTTAGTCGCTCTGAAAGTCGTAAAGGTGTGCAAACATGCCTGATCGATGCTGCTCCCTCTTTGATCTATCGCGGCCCTTCAGCTCGCTGACAGTCCCGGCCCGCTGAATTTTCCTAGCTGTCCACCATCGTCGTTTTCCTTGCTAACGCTGGCGCCACTAACAGGGAGCTCGAAGGCAAGAAGAGAGGACATTCTCCAGGCAACAGTCTCTAAGTACTCCCATCCTATGAGGAAGTGGAGACCTGTTACACTCACATTATTTTTGACAGACATGCCACTTCTGTGATCATATTAGGGCAACAAAACGGAAAGAAACTAAATTTGAAATTTCGAGAATAAAGTCATGACTAGGCTGATTGGTTACTCCAAATTGACCATAGGTATGACTGTGAGAGTGAATGGTTGTTTGTCTCTGTGTGCCCTGCGATGGACTGGCGACCTGTCCAGGGTGTACCCCGCCTCTCGCCCGAAAGGATGCTGGGATAGGCTCCAGCCCCCCTGCGACCCTACTAGAGGATAAGCGGTAGAAAATGGATGGATGGAGAATAAAGTCATAATATTTCGAGAAAAAAGTTGTAATTTTACAATAATAAAAGATTTTGAGAGAAAAAAAACATTATTTTTAGGAATATTACTTTAACCAATCAAACAGGTGAATGGATAGTCAGTGTCAGCCTGAGCTGCTTCTGACAGCTGCTGTTTGTCTGTCTAACAATAGAATAGACTCAGTTTCTTCACAATCTATTCAATGTCCTGGTGATGATGATGATGATGATGATGATGATAGTGATAATGGCACAAAAGATGAAGTATCTCCTTATTTGTGAAACCTATGCTAAAGTATAACTTCACAGGATGCTCCCTCTAAAACAACACCTAACCTGAAATTACAACTTTATTCTCATAATAATATGACTTTTTTTCAAAATTTCTGATTTTTTTTTTTTCCTCAATGTGGCCCGAACGCACCGTCATACCTTGGGACCTTATAACAAAATGTATTTACAAGCTTTTGGTGTGTCACACATCAAATGTTGTGTGTAATCGGTTTGATCACTTCCTGGCCAGTCAGGAAGAAGTGAAGACTGAGCTGACATTCCTTAATATTTCGGCCAAGAACCTCAGTAATGTTGTATTTAGTATTGCACTTCAGTTTCTTTAACGCTTTCAGCTTATTATGTGCTCAACTGTTGACATAATGACTAATATAAATAGTCATTCACTGCTTAAAAAAACCTTGCTGGGTGTAATTACACTTCAAACACAGCTTCATTTAACTAAAATAATTAAGGGCATTAAAACTGCATTTTGACACAGGGCCAGATTATGTAATAGAGCATTAACTGCATGTGGATATTGTGATATTAATCAAAATAAAATCTGAATAGCTGAATGACCTTCTCCTCCTGTGTCTGGGTGGAGCCTGGTCTCTGGTCTCATTCACAGCTGCTCTTAGAGCCACTGCTGCTCTGTTTCATGCAAAATGAACAGCAGCTGTCTTAGAACGAGCCGAACACACAGCCAATCTATAAAAATATACTTTGTTTATTGAAAAAAGCAAAAGTGCAACAGACAATAAGTCACTTGTATCTTTGTCATGTGGTTACAGTGAAAACACAAAGCATCATGGTTACAGTTACAGAACTCTTAACACTGTGTTAAACAAGTTGCATAAATTATAGTATAAAACTGTACACAGTCTTACAGTATTTACACAAGCTGTATTTGCCAAATGTTAAATTGGTCCGTCCTTCTTTTCTTTTTAAATATACAGTAAATAATAGAAATAACAGCAACAAATATGTCTTCCTTCTACTGGCCTTTAGACCAAAGCGTCAGAATGGAAAGTGGAAACACTAAAGAGGACTAATCAGCAGTTGGATGTCAGGCTAACAGACTGAAGAAAGACTAAATACATGATATCATTTTAAAATACACATACTTAGGGTTCCTGCATTCAATACTTTCAGAAATATGTCATTCTAATATTTCATGTCAATATGTTTCCCACAAGTATCTCAGTTTCTCCAGTAGCATTACTGCGGTTGTCAGGGAGCTAATATCCCCCGTCTGTCATGTTCTGTACATTTCAGGAGGTATTTCTTTCATTCAATTTCCTGATTGTCATTCATTGGTTCATTGCCTGAACCTGTACTGTCATAGGGACATTTTAATATAGCTGGCCCACAGACTGTAAATAAAGATGGATGTAGCCACTATGACATCACCCACAGGTTTCTGAAGAGTGGTTTTGAAGCTCAGAGTGAGCTGCTCCACCATTGCCATCGTGGCAGTGCCTGACTCTGCCTATAACTTCCAGCTAATCCAAAAATGGACAAAGAGGTGGGGCGTGTGTGGAGCTCAGACTTTGGTGGATGTCAGTTTTTGGCAAGCATATGCTCACCCCCCTGTCACTCAAAGAGGCCACACCCTCAATTCTACATAACAAGTCTTAACAAAATGTAAACAGGTGAGTTATATAAACAGGTGTCATAAAGGAGGAAATTAGCTCTAGAGACCAAAACTGTTTTTGTACCAGGCTGTAAACATGTTTATTTCTGCTGTAAAGTTGGACATTTTAACATGGGAGTCTATGGGGATTGACTCACTGTTGGAGCCAGACTCTAGTGGTCATTAGAGGAACTGCAGGTTTTGGAGCGGCCATGTTTGCTTATCAAGCTCACAACTTAAAGGGCAGCCACATAAAGCAGAAACTTCCTCTTCATCTCACATTTGTACCTGTATGAGAAGTGGTTTATGGGAGTTAATGTTAGCTAATGTTAGCAAACTTTAATAACATTATTCAGTAAGTTTTTGATTCTTCTCTACTTGTGCCACTGTTACATTTCAGGATTCACTGTTATCTCCAAGATCACAGGTGATGCTGCTGAGCCATTCTCATTCATCTCTAGAGACAGTCATATTTTTTTCATTGTCTCAAGATGAATGTCATAATGTCAGCATTGTTAAGGTACAGCTACTTTCTTACACCTCTGTCATTTCTCAACTGAAGATAGCAAAAACCTTTGGTCGTGATGAAAATGTAAAGCTTTAAAAGCTGCTGTCTCAAAAAGAAAATCAGGCTCTTTGCCTTTGTTTAGTTTGTGCATCTATAACAGCAGCCATGTCACTTATTAAATGTGCTGAATCCTAAGCAACAGAATACCACACAACATGGCTGCACTGTATGCTAGTCAGACATATTGATCTTGGATCTTTGGAAACAGTACATGTAACAAAATAATATAAACTCAAAGTTTCACTCACTAGCTGTTCAGAGGTTTTAACTACTTCTTATGGAGACTGTCCTGTAAGAAACGAGCCCACAGGTCATCTGTGCAGCAAGTTATTATGACCCATAGTTAAGTTTTGTTGCTAGGCGACATCTAGTGGTCGCAGTAATTATGACAGGAGCAAAGGGAAAAGTGCGGTGATGTAGCATAAAGAGAGACAAAGAGGGTGGTGTTTGATTCCCATGTGAAAGTAGCAGTTTATGTTGTTTCTATTATCTATGACCATTCAACCACATTGTTATTATTGTAACTGTGACAACAAAAATTGTCTAATGTTGAGGAAATACTTATTTTAAGCCAAATCATGATCTTTTCCTAAACCTAACCAAGCCACGACCATTATTATACTAACCATGGCAACAAAGGTACGCCACTGTCAGTATAGTCCCCATGTTTATGATTGTAACAAGCAAGGTCTGGTCACCTGCTGCCAGAGGGCGCTATTTCAGGAGACACCACTATAGGTTGTATCAGAGGGCTGATGGTTGTTCATGCTGGAGGAGTGGTTGTTCGCATGAGCCTCTTCAGTGGCTGGAGCTGGCTACGTTGTTATCATGTGACCTCAGTACAGTTGGGTGTACTTTAAATATTTGGAGATGTAACCTCTGTCTCTGGAGACAGATGCGAATGTCCTTTTGGTCTCCAGCTGTGAACTGATGGCAAAGGCCATTTTTGAACAGAGGTGTTATGATCTAGGAAGTGAATCTTTGAGCTTTTGTTACACACATTTATCTTTGTCTTCATTTTTCTGTCTGTACTTCTTTACCATCACCAAACCATGGGTACAAGGGGCATCAGTAGCAGCCGCCCTCTGGTGAGTTTGTCTTTTGATGCAGAGAAAAAAACAAACAGTAAGCTCTGATATGTTTCCATACATTTCTTTGTCAATGTGTCTGTCCACCCCATTGCACATTACTGGAAGACTGGTCAGGAGGTGTGGGGACAAAAGAGCTGCATCTACTAACTAAACAAACAAGCTACATTGGGGTTCATTTTAAAGGTCTGTCTTCAAGTTGAATCGCCTATCAATGGATCATTATTGGCCTGATCATCTTTTCAACTTCCTCACAACAAACCAGCAGTTCAGCAAGAAAATGTTGTCTCTGAGAAGAAGAAATGAATTAGTGACCCTTTACTTTAAAGCTAGATTACACGGAAGGTTAGGTATGTAGTTGTAAAGGTAGAGGGTGGGGTTGATTGTGTGCGCACGACCCTCCCGTCACATATTGCTATCATAGTCCCCGACCATCCTTCGAGTGTTGGACGCCAGGAAGATGTCGTTATCTTGAGGACAGTCATGATGGCAGGAGCAGGTCTTGATGAACATCATCTTCTTTGTGAAGACGTCTCCCTCAGGACAATGGAACTCCACCTCGGTTGTGATTGTGGCATGAGGCGTGCAGCAGCGGTTGTCTGTACAGATGCCGCAGAACTTTGGTTTGTACAGCCTGGTGCTCAAACAGCCTGACAACTCGAAGCGCATCCCTCTCGTGGCCTTTGGTGTCCGGTTGCATTTCTTCCCTCTCTGTGGGACACAAACGATAATCAGTGAATTATATGTCAGCACCATCATAGAGTCATTAGTCATATCAGCTGTGGCTGTAGTGATGTATAGTATAATATAGTACAGAAACTGCCATTCCAAAGTTAGCATTAACCTGTTGTTTGCTGCTGATGCTTAATCCATACCTGTGCTCTGATTGTCCATAATCTCCCAACTGACCATTTGGACAATCTGGCTCAAGTCATACTTAAAAGATAGGAGCTTGTATTGGTAACTCCAGCTGTTTCTGGTCTGTGCTGTGAAGCAACTCAAAGTCCAGTGCTTGGTTTGGTTTATAGTATCATTGGGAGATCATAGGCATAATGTCAATATCCATTACTTTGCAGACGATGCTCTGATATTTCTCAGCTGTGACCCTGTTAACAGTCTGAAGGAAATGAGCACCTTCTTGAATTATTCATCAGAAGAGGTCTCGACTTTCCCTGAAGTTATATAAAAAACAAAACTGAGATCTAGTTATTGTTTCTGATCAATGTTGGAGTAGTGATTAGTGGGAGAACTGGGACTTTTCCCAATGAGCCACTCAATGTGAAAGAAATAAAACATCAGAGAGACAAGAGAGAGAGAGCGAGAGAGAGAGATATGTCTGTGTTGTGGTGATCAGCCCATATCCTTCATGTCTGCCCCCTCTCCAGCCAACTACATTCTGTTCAGACCTGCAGCTCCGCCCACACACTGTCTATGTCTTTGTATCTTTATCATGGTTTAAACACTGTGGCAGCAGTGAACTGTTGCTGAATTGTTGTACATGAATAACAGAGTGAACTCGTCGACTCCAGCAGTGCGTGTTCATGTGTTTTGGGGGATGGCTAAAGGGAAAGGATGGGATTTTATCTGTTGGATAGTTTCAAAATTTGGCTAATTCATGCTAACATTTCAAGGGCTACTACCTAAGCTTTAGGTGACTTTAAGTCATCTAGCAGCTGCAGTTTCTATGACAGAAGCAAAGGAGGAAGTCAAGCGACATCATTGGAGAGTGAGTGTGTGGAGGAGGTAGGGGTAGAGTGGTGGGTCAACCAAACATTGGACAATCATACCCTAACCTTATTGTGACCATGAAACAGTCGCTGTCTTAACCCAAACCATGGTGTTTGTGTTTAACCCTAACAAAACCTTAGCCCTAACATTTTCACATCATAAATCAACAGTGATTTGTGGAAGGCACAAACAAATGATGTTGTCCTGTTGATCAGGGCATCAGATTTGTGTTTTCTATATATTTTGTCTTATAATGTGGAGGGCTTGTTGGCTCTGCCTGTGTAGACTGTCTCGTCACTTTCCAGTAACTAGTCACTGTAGCGTCCAACCTGCCCTGAAGAAGTAGTACCCCTCAGAGGGCGTATTATAACCTCTTTGTCTTGTAAACACAATGTTTGGTGAAGCTCTTAGCAAAACTGGTGAGTAAACGGCTGATAATGCTAACAATCAATATGTAGCAATAGCAAAACTTACAAGCTCCTTTAACTATTAACACTCACTTAAAGTTCTTACATTTTACCTTATGAGGACCAGAGCACTGAAACCTCATAAGTAAAGTGAGTCCAAGTGATTGACTGTGTAAGGTTTTTTTTGGTTCTTTCACAAGTATGAACACCAAGAATCCAGAACATGTATGAAAATATGAATGAACTGACATCTGTGCAGTAGCTGATGAGGAATATTTTGCTTACCTCAAAAGCTTCTTTTAGTTGAAACTAAACAAACTGACCTTGATTTCTATTTCCTGTTGGCTGTCGCAGGGTCGGACCATGCAGATCCTGGTCTGCCTCTCCAGCTGGCAGCGCTGGTTATCATTGGTGATACGGGATGAGACGGCCATGCCACAGGTGGCCGAGCACTCGCTCCACTCTGTCGTCTGGACTACACAGTTATCTCTGGGACTCTCTTCGACCGGGCCATGGGGGGACACTTGTCTGAAGACTGAGACTGGACTTGAAGAGGGCAACGGGTGAATCTGAGAGGCTCCTGCCAGGAGAGGACGGAGGAAGAAAAGGTATGAGAAAGTGATTAAACTAACTGGAGACAGAATGAAGTGTTTAACTATAGAAAAAATAGTTACAGACATTTCAATCAGTTGTGGTCCAAAATGAGAACTGTCTCGACAACTGTTGAATGAATTACTATGCAACTTGATTCTGACATTCATGGTCTTTAATGATCCAACAGGTGGATACTTTGCAGCCCTATCCTAAGATTAATTGCATGCCAGTGATGAATCATTTTTCAAAAAGAGACTACGGTCGACTGCAAATAACACAGCAGCTGAGAATCAATAGGAAATCCTCCATAGATCACGGTCATGCCTTTCAAGACTGAATCTTCCGAAGGATGCAGCTCCTGAATTGGGACACAGTTTATATCTAATATTAAATTACTAAAATGAGGGCACTAAATACTTATTGAGTGCACCACTCAAAAGGAGGGAACTATTTATCAAACAATTGCTAGTATCACCTTCCATCCTGATTGATATCTGTCCTGTGCAAGGCTTATATTCTGCCCGTAATGAACAATGCCACTATCTGCGTGTGAGACTTAAGGAGAATATCAGCGTTACATCAGGCAGTGAATCAAGCTTAAGCATCAGTTAGTTAACAAAGAATCAAAAACTCAGAGCAGGTGATGAGACAGAGGTGACACTGACTGGCAACCAATGACTGATAGAGGTGGTCCCGAGGCGTCTGCTCACACACCCACTCCTCACAGCATTTCCCTGGGATCTGGATACGGCGAGGGTACGGGCAGTCAGGGGAGGGCAGCCGGACGTCGCTGGCACACATTGGCACACAGCCAATCTCTCCATTCATACACACACAGTGGTGCTTACAGCTCGGCTGGAAGGACTCCCCACTGCGGTAGATCACTCCCCCCAGGTCGCAGGTCTGACCCTCCTGAGCTGCAAACAGAAAAGATGCAAATGTCACTAACAGCCATCTGATGAGTCTAAAGTGCTGTATAGTATGAGTATACAGTACTATATATAATGCAGAAGTGAATTATGAAATTAATAGTAATTTTTCAATTTCTTTAAAAATAGCTTCTGTCTTTGAAAATGAACTAAAACCTGTTCCTGCCAGATGTTTAGATGATCGACCTGCACATACTGAAAAACTCAGACCTCTTTCCTTGCTGCTTAGTGATGTGCACCTCATTAAATCATAACAAATAAAGAAAATTGAACATCTGCAAGGAAAATGAACAATTAACATATCTCAAAATGTGCTAGGACAGAAACGTCTTTAAAAAAAGTGAAAAAAAGAAGAAAGAAAAATAATGATGCACAATACCTCTTATCCAACCAGTTACAGGTGCAGGAGAAAAGCAGTGTACAAAGGAAGAGGAGAGGTGGTCTGCACACTGATTGTTGCAAGGTCTTAAAATTTAACGGAGGCTGTGTGATATTATGATACAAAATAACACACACCATCCAAATAATTAACTATGTTGATAAAAAATATTGTAAAGAAGGAAGGATTGTAGCATACGGATATATATATTAAGTATATGGTAAGCATTTTAACAAGGAAAATGCATATAGTATCATACAACAAAAAAGGTTTGGAACCAGAGGGGGACAATGGAGCCAGTGGAGCAAATGCATTAAGGGGAAAGTTGTGGTTATGCTACCTCACTTTGTCTTCATGAAAATAGACCCATCATCATGCAGTCCCTGCAGTCAGGTGGTCATATTGAAGAAGCTAATATCAATGATCATTGTTTTGACAACTGTCAAAACAAGTAAAACAAAAAACACATATTTTCAAACCACCCTTTAAGTTGGTTCAGTCCAACCCCTGGCTGATCGATTGAAACAGCACGCTTTGATTATCAATCACAGTGTCCTGACTACAACCAAACTTTAAATCATGCCAAACTGATTTGTGAGTCAACGTTAGCTAATGCAACATTAGCTCAGGAGCCAGCTGATGGCATGGGACTTTGGCTGTGTTTGCACACCCATAAATCTATGCAACACATCATGCTACACATCCATTTTCACACACAGTGAAAAACCAGTTGTGATAATGTCGCCGTGCTCCGCTCTGCGTCTCCTTTTTGTGGTCAGTATGCCTTTGCAAAAATCATGAATGTGATTGTACCTCAGGACTGAAATCTAGTGATATAACATAATTTTACAGTTTTGGTTAACATTATATTGGCCAAAGAAGAAGAAGCCTCAGAGCCACTCCTCCATGAAGAAATACAATTATAGATGTTGAATAGTTTCTGAGATGCAGGACAAAGTCTGAACATCAGACAACAGTTTGCTCCAAAATCAAAAACACCTTGCCTCACTTTGTTCTTCAGTTTCACATTTAAACATGAACTGATATGTTCACCAATAACGTGATGCTAAAACTGCTACTACAAATTTGAAAATCAATTGGTTTGTATTGTTATTTATCAGACAGGACCATCGGTTAATATCTTCATTTAACTGCCAACGTCTCAGAGTCACTTCCGCACTCTTCTCAGTAAATATGTGTGAAAGCACCTGAGTCTCAATCAGTATGAAAAATATGGCAAATCCAAATAGTTTGAGTTGTACATTTAAATAGTCATTGAAGTGAGATAATGTAGGTTCAATGAAGTTATGACTGTTCCTGTAGAACATTACAGCTGCAGCAGCTGGCGGAGCTGTGAGAACAGAACCTGTGATTAACAGGTGACAGGTGGAAAAGTGACTGCATTTTGATGCAGTTGTTAGACTTTGACTCGACCTTATGAGTGTTGAGAATAACAACATTGTTGAACCAGGTTTAATTATTATTGAAGATGGTCTACTAGCCTGCAACCTGCTATCATTTAGACTATGTGATGTTTTTATAAATATAATTTCTGCCATTCTTCTTATAATCACTTCCTGTCCTGACCCACCAGTTAGAAACTGTTGTTGACACATTCTTGGTTTGTATAGCACCTCAGTCTATCTAATCCAGATTTGTGGAGGGGCTGTTTCTTGATTTAATCCAAGAGGTTGCAGGAAATCTGTTTTAGGTTACTTTTTTTGAGGGGAGGAGCCAATTACCTATTGTATATTATATATCTTTCCTAATTTTCTCTGCCATTTTTTCTATTTCTCTGCCAACATAACCAGGTGTCCACGGAGGGATACATAGCATAAAATTGTGTTTATGTCAGATTCCTCATTTAAATCATGGGATGACACAATACTCAACTTTCTAACTTTCTTAGTTCTATTTAGGCAGCTGATAGAACGGCCTGTATGTTTGAAAGGGGCTGTAACTGTATGGGCAGGAGTGAGCCAGGGATCACACCGTGTATAGGAACATCGCAGCCTTGTGAGAATGGCTGAAGAGTTGCACTCATGGCTGAAGGCTCACTGGGTGCAGCTAACATATGTAGTTTCTGTGGCTCGATCACCTCTTCAACTTCAAAACATAAGGACGTTCCACACTGTTAGTATCACAAGAAACCACCTTCTGAATGTTATATGTTTCATTAGTATGGGGGGGGCAAACAAAGATGGAGGTGTGTTTTATGAAGAATGTTACCCATGCAGATGCCAGTCTCAGTGTCACTCAGCAGAGCGTAGTCACAGTAGAGCTCCTTGTGATGGTCGCAGGGCTCCAGCAGGGAGCAGGGCTCCCCCAGCTGCCTGGCGCACACCTTACAGCAGCCACAGCCATCCAGGACCAGGCTGGTCCCCACTGGGCAGAGGGGGGGGTCTGCAGGGCAGGCGCAGGGCTGGGAGCAGTCCTGGGCCACTGTCTGCAGCAAACACACACACACATACATCAAGCAATGCAGACTTCTGAATGGAGAAGGGAAATATGTCCCACCCCTTCCGGCACAGAGTAAGGGAAACAACATGAATGCCACTGGAGTTAGAAAGTGATAGTGGAGTCTGAGGCCACTTTCCCATGGGAATCATGAATGAAAATGATTGGACGTTACTGGTCAGCTGTTAGCTGCCAGCTAATGAATGAGCCAGTAATCATGAAGCATATATGAATTCAATGCTCTGTCAGAGATGATGCCATGCTATGCTCTCAGTGTTTTTAACCATGACCACAGTCACAGCTGCACCACTCATTTCCTTCTATATTATCAACAGATCACTTGACTTCATGTAATGTGAAAGTTGCTGCTCTTGTGAAGAACGCACAGAGTTATCACCAGCTGCAGGTCCTCTCAGCTCTGTGAAGCTTTTTAGGCTCTTTAACTCATTGTTTTGGTTTTGCAGCTGAAACTTTACTGTTTTAGTTCAGTCTCATGCAGCAGAAACAAACAGCTGTTTTCAGTGAAAAAGCTTTGTCCAAACAGCAGGCAGATGAAGTTCAATTAGCTGTACTCAGCAGACGTTTAACAGCTGAAGATCACACCCCCTCATTAGCGCAGCAGCACTTCTGATTGGTGATTGTAATCTTCAGTCATTTTCTCTGATTATATTTCTTTCAGCATCATTGGATGAGTAATGGAGCAGTGTGACTGCTCTCTGTGAGGAAGTTAAGTCAAATATGTTTCCTCATATGAAATTCTGTAAATTCAGGCTGGACTGACAGATTATATCAGAATTACTTAAAGGTTCTGTAAATGAGATTTTAAACAATAATACAAGCCACACCCCCTCTGTGTTCCTCTGCTCTGTATTTTGGTAGCATGGTCTGGTAGCATGCGCTTGTTTGTGCATGTGAGTCCCTCTAGTTAAACTGTTGGCCAGTAGGTGAGATGGCTCAGTGCAGTATGCAGCATTCAGGTGAAACTGACTTTCCACAATTTCCTCCATTGTCTAAAAAGAGATGAGACCAGATAGCAGGTGGGCTGGCCATGTTTTTATTGTAAAGTTTTTACAGGCTCTGTCAGTTTCATTGGTGCGTCCGGTCCCAGCGGATCAGTCCAAGGCTGGGTTCACTGAGAGGAGAACCCTACCACCTGCTGGGGGGTCCAGCTCCAGCTGGTTTCTCTTCTTAACTTGATGTCTAGTGTGACATCTAGTGGCAGTGATGCTCGCTTACAGAACCTTTAATAGTAATGTAGTAGTTATATAGTAAGTAATATAACGAATGTAATTAATGTTTCGTCTCTCAAACAGTGCTTTTAGACATTTTGCTTGTTTTTAATTCTTTTTTTTTAGGGAAGAAGGAAGAATTTTGTGATATGTTACAATAGTGCGGTTGCAGCACCGGTCAGCTGTTAGTCTTCCTATTGCAACAGACAAAGGTGAGTTAGTTATAATAAGTTCATGTGGACTGTTTTGCCAAGTATGTGGTGTCCTCTCTTTATTCTGCACCAACAGAAATTAGCCGCCCTGTTTCACAGAGGCTTCTTCAGTGTAATTCTGTGAGTATCTTCATTTTATTTGACTTAATGTTCAGTGGTAACAGTCAGATTGTGCAAACCAATCACTGGTTCACTAGTAAAATGAGAGAACGACTAACAAATGTTAACTGGCAATAGGCTTGGGCCGATATTCGATAGAATTTAATAATATATTAATATAATTATACATTATAAAAAACATCTGAAACATAAAATACAATATTATAATTGTGCATATAAAAGGATATTTGGTCTGCGGCGATGGAGATATTCAATTTTGACTTTATTATGTCCTTTCTTTCTTGTCTCTCACACTGTAAGGATATTGATTATGAGCCTTCAGACGTATTTCTGTGTCTGTCTTCAGGACACACCTGGCTTCTCCTCACTTGAACCTAGTGAAAGCAGGGATCATTTTAGAAAGCGGTGCGTTCAGGGATGTTCTGTACCAAAGAACTGCACCTGGAGCAGAGCGCATTAAAAACATTTTAACTTTATTCAGCAGGAGATGTTGAACCGGAGTAGTGGTCACAAATCAGCTTTTAGGTACATTGAAATTGTACATTGAGTGTTTTGTATGTTCACTGTACAGTATGTCAACAACAATATGTGTTTTATTGCTGATTTGTTATTTTAAATAACGTTTTGATAAATGTATTACATTGTATTATTAAACATGACACATTTTGAGATATGACACATGAATATTTTCTCACCTAAATATTTTAACAACAACGTTTTCTCCAACGTTAAAGGGAGCCCGGTACAGTGAAGTCAAGGTTAAGAAATGGTATAGTCCACTTTAGGCGTTTCTGAAATCATATTTTTCCAGGCACAAATATGAGAAATGTATTGTAATATTAAAATTACAGGTAAGACAGATATATATTTCAACCACCTGAGCTGTTGTTTTTACCCCTTTTGGGGGGGTTCAAGTCTTAATATCAACATACTGACCACATATATTATGTGGTCAATATGTTGATATATTCATCATATACTCTGTTATAGAAGATAAAGTCACATGGGGTGAGGCTGTTATTGTTTTGGTCCAATTGAAAGACTGCAAAGAATGCCACAAGATGGCGACACCAGACTGTGATCACACAGCCAGCGAACACTTTCCATGTTGTGTTTCCCTCCCACTGTCCAGCATCAGCCCAGCAGACAGGGAGCAGGTTAGGAAGAGGAAAACATGACCGTGACAGAGAGCAAAAATAGAATAGTAAGTGGTCGTGCCAGAACCAGCAGCAGCTTCCTACATTTCTACCCAATGAAATAAACTTGAACTTTATCATCTGAGGTTCAGTTCTTCACGGTTTATGATTTCAACTTAATTTAACGAAGCAGCACAACACCTCAGCCTTGATATGAGCTTTCTTTTTGACAAGACATAGTTAAAAGAAAACTCACCAATGAGATAAGAAGCAGGAGAAGAGAAAGTGTGGCTGAAGTTTCCACAGACATGTTTCTGTGCCGGCTGCAGTCCACTCAGTAGTACTGGTTCCTGTGGCGGGAGGCTCGCTCTTGTTACTCTCTCTGCAGCAGAGTGATGAAGCCTGGGAGGAGAAACTGGCTTTAATACCAGCCCAGTGGGTGTAGCCGGAGAAACAAGAGCCATGCCACTCTGCTCTGAGAGGTGAAAATATTCCAAATCAAATGGCCTTCTTACTGAGACAGCCTCCTGTGACACATCATTAGTTCATAGGGTGGTGGGTGGACAAATGCCAACGGGCAGGGGTGTTAACTTTGAGGTAACTAACAGCAGCTAAGGCTGGTCATTCAGAGTCCTAATTTCAATCCAATTTGCAGTGTGTCAATATCAGGGTGGCTCTGACAGTTACTGAGTATTTAAAGCCATAAACCACAACTCAACAGAGGACAGTCTGAGTTTGAATTTCAGGAATGTTGGTCCCAGAATCTGAGGAATGATTTCATGTAAGGTAATGTTAATGATTGTGGAAAATGAGGGCAATGCGTGCCAAAGCTCAGAAGCTCAGAGGCAGGGATAGGCAGACACACACACACACACACACACACACACACACACACACACCAACAGGGCTGTTCTTAAATACAAGAAAAAACACTGTGACACTCTTTGAGTACAAATAGCTCCACAAAGCTGCGTTGATGACAGGGCTGCCATTCAGGAACCACTTGTTTCCAGGATCAGCACATTGAGATGCAGAAACTGAAACAAAGCCAGAGGCATTTGGACAGATGGAAGACTTCATGTGAATAATCCACAAAGCCTCAGACATGAGTGCTTTGACATACACATGAGTATCCAGGTTATGGCCTTAATGTTTTATCCTGGTTCAGAGAAAAACCTGGGCCCTGTGCTACGATGCAAGCTCAGCATATTCAGGATATCTTTACATCATTGGAAGAAATAGAAATAAAATGAATATGATCTCCTTCCAGACAAGCTTTAGCTCCATATCAGATCCATACGAACATGCTTAAAAGGACATATCACACGACCTTTCACGTACACTGGGCATGCACATGCCAGTGTAAACAGTAAGCAGATTGTCTTCACTACAGTCGGTCGCTTAGCTGCAGAAAATACTACACGAGGAACAGCAATGGCAAGAAGTAACAAGGTGGAACTGCTAGTGGAAATGGTGGTGACCGGTGAGAGTCATGTCAAGAGTCATGTGATTGAGTGTGACAAATCAGACCATGAAGGATCCACCTGCTGGAGCTGCCTTCGTTGGTTTACTCCCGATTTTAACATACAGAATTACTGGCTTATGACCCACAGAAAAACTGCGAACCTCGAGAGTCACGTTATTTCCCAGCTTGGTGTAATGAGATGAAACCCCCTCCATGCTATATACATGTGTATATAGCATGGAGGGGGATAATTCATTTTAGGGGTAAGGGTGAAATTGTATAAAAAAAGGGCAACAATTCATTAGGATAGGACAAAAAAGTTAGATTAAGTTCAATTATGTTTTAGGGGCTTTCAACAAAAATCTAAATACAGGCCTTCTTACATCACTGTGAAGTTTGTAAATGTTTTTGTGAAAATAAGGAAGGAATTTGGATAAATATGAAAACAGTACTTGTTATAAACATTGTCTAACCGTTGCCATTCTACAGCAAGCACATAATTAAATGGTATTTGTCTCTGTTCTCCTGTCACAAACATTATATAAAACCTCACTACGGACCAACAGCTGCCATGCCCACACAGGTGTCATGATGCCGCTGAATAATGAGCACGGAGCCTCATGCCTCACATGTGTGTCACATAATGTTTGACCTGAGTAGTAAACACACACTCTCTCCACCGTTTCTCCTAAATGGCCAGATAGGGCTGTTCTCATTAAGAGGCATTGACTCACACACACACTCACACACACACACACACACACACACACACACTCTCTTTCTTGAAACTGAAGAGTGATTACCAGCCTGTCCACCTCCAAAGCTGTTGAGCAGAAATTGTACAGGATCCTGTCAGTGTCCTCTATTTGTGGTTGGTGAACTAGAATTACGTCCTCACTGTGGTATCCCTCCACCACTCAGGTCACATCCCTGTTTGTCCAGAGTCAGACAAAATATGAACCATTTGTGTAAAATGTCATAATTGCTGTGCGGAGACTCGAGTAATGGCTAAAAAGGGTTTTGTGAGGTCACACTGACCTTTGACCTTTGACCTTTGACCACCAAAATCTATTCAGTTCATCCTTCAGTGAATGTTTGTGCCAAATTTGAAGAAGTTCCCTGGAGGTGTTACTGAGATATCGTGTCCATGAGAATGAGACAGACAGACAACATGAAAACAATATGGCTCTGACTGTCGCCAGCGCGCAGGAATAAAAAGTGTTTTTTCCAGTGAGTGTGAGTGTTTGTGTCGATGCAGTGCAGCCACTCAGGCCCTGTCCACATTAAAATTATAGTGCACCTCCCTCATTCATTTCTGAGATTACTGTGTTGGCACAGTGGGGGTCCTGATGCAAATAGCTCTGTCAAAAAACAAACAAACATTTTGACATTAGATAGGCTTACAAACCTATGATGACTGCTGTGTACACAAGCGGTGACATTCAGCGCTCACAGGCCCTGGGACTGTGAAGATGGCTTTACAATAAAGCTGCTGTTCAAGGAGGCGTCATCTCCGGGCTGAGCTCCTGTGAAACCACAGTTCTCCACAGTAGTGTCAGACGTGGGATGACTTTGCTCAGCCAGGTGGAGGAAGTCTTTATTTGTTGTGAAAAATACGATTACAGAAAGAGGGAGATTCCAGGGTTCTCCCCCGGTGCATGGCAGCCTGTGCATGTCCGAATGAAAACCTCAGAGTTTTTTCAAACTCTGTCTTTGTGTCCAACACTTCCATCAGGCCAGAACCTTTAGCTATATGCAAGAAAAATCACATCACAGAGCATCAAAGGTCGCTCTTAAAACAGCAGAAAAGAATCAGCTCATGATCTTTTAGGTGAATTTATCAACATGGGAGATACAGTTCATTCAGAAAGTATTCAGACCCCTCACTTTTTTCACACCAGCGACAGTCAGAGCAGCCATATTGTTTTCAGGTTGTCCATACGTCCGTCCTATTCTTGTGGACACGATATCTCAGTAACACCTTGACATTCAAATTTGGGACTAACATTCAGTAAGGCTCAAGGATGAAGTTTCAGATTCAGACACGTTGCTATGACACTTTATTTAGCTCAGGTTCCTCCATTTCTTTTCACCATCTTTGAAATGTTTCTACACCTTGACTGGCGAAAGAACATCTAACCAGTCTTCAGTTTAACAAGTCAGCACCTAGAACCAACCATACTGCCCCTGAAGATCTCTGCTTTTACAGCATCTTGTCTGGCTGTTCATCACTTCACCGCTGTCTGCAGTGAGAGAGTAGATCTCTCTCCAGGCTGCACCCAGGCAGAAAAACAGTAGTGGAGTAATAGAGTACTTTGTTGTATAACTCTCCCTGGTGATTAGCAGTTCTTTGACCACAGTCCCTTTGGTGTTCATGTGAACTGGAAGTGAAAACAAGCCACCTGACTCCACAGCTTGTTAGTCACAGCAGGATATGCAGAGTTAATTACATCCTGTGTTACGGTACAACAGCTGAAGTGAGGGAAGGTGTTTGACTGGAATCAGAGCTCAGCTTGGTGCTTTTGGCTGCAGCTGGAGCTGGATGACTCAGTGCAGCCGAGGCTCTGACTCTCCTCAAACACTCAACGCACGCTGTTGCTTTACACCAGTCAGTCTTGTTGTTTTTCAGATATATGATATACTTTCAGCTTCACTGCTGCTGACCAGAGTTCCGCAAACTGCAAAATGTTATGTCAATGTTATGTTATGTCCCTTATGAACAATGTACATTCAAAGTTGTGCAACACACGTAACTAGTGTGATGCTTTTGCAGTGTGGCTCGTCTAAAATAATCATGTCAACAATCAACTTCATTGTCAGCCAATAGACTGAGTTTGTTATCTTGAATAACAGTGTAAGCCATGATCACGTTCACAGGTTGAGAGCTAATCATATGATTACAGTGTAAAGGACCTTCCCATCATACACTGGGGCAACAGACTCATGGATATAAGTCTTATTTGTTATGTGTGTTCACCAGCTGAGGGTGATGATGATGCAGATTCTTAAAACTGACATTAGAGAGGAGAACCTGAAGCTGCACCAGTAATTCTCCTCTATCATGTGTAATCATTAGCTGCTGTATATTCTCACTACAAAATGAACAGTGAGAATAATTTAGTTCACAACATTATAGTGTGTGGTTTTTTTTTTTGAAAGATTGATAATTGAGTAGTGGAGAAGGGGTAGGTTTAAATAAGCATATGCTTCATCCTACTCCTTTTCGGACATGTTGGGTTCACATTATTATTTTTGTTTTGGCTATTGTTATTGGATTTATTTGTTTTTCAGTTTACTTTGTTGTGTTACTTGCACATGTTCGAAATAAACTAAATAAACTAAACTAAACTGTTTAATTCAGAGAATCCCAAACTAAACTCGGTTCAGTTCTTTTTTTTAGTGTACACATTTAATTTTGTTATCAATAATAAAATATTTCATCATACTTGAAAGTCCCATATAGTATAAAGGTAGATCATCTTTGATTATAAAGCAGGTCTATGTGTAACAGAGTCAATTATACAGTAGTAATATGTGTGACAGTGTAAAATATACAGTAGTAATATGTAGTATTATAATTATACAAAATCTGTGTTAATAGTTATAACCTGACATGTTAGCCTCCAGATTCAAAATGTGGAAGGTTTGAGAGTTTCCATATCCCTGCGTTCACTTCTGTGGGGTCCCCACTATAGAGTGGGGTCTCCCGCCTTTACCTCTCCCCCTTCTTGCTGTTGCACTCCACGGGAGAGCTAAGCAACAACACTGTTGTGTTCAGCTACGTTCATGAGCTCAATCGATATCTTAAATTGACTTCATGATCACAACTGACCAAAGCTTTTAGCTATTGAC